GTCGGGGTGAGCTTATATCTTTAAAAATGTCAATATTTCAGAAGTTTCAAGGTCGTTTCTTAATTAGGTAAAATTGCACTGTATTTTTTGAACTATTGACCTTTTTAAAGATATAAGCTCATCCCGATGTTACATTCATCAAGAGCTTTCATTTGAGTACCCACATGCGTTTTGATATATTTTTCATATATACATATATATAAATATTATATATATATGAAAAATTGATGTGGGTACTTAAATGAAAGGTCTTCATGAGTGTAACATCGGGATGAGTTTATATATTTAAAAATGTCAATAGTTCACGAGATACATGGTCATTTCTTAATTATGTATCTAGAGATAGAGCATTTTCGAATGCAGCTTAAATACTTATTATCATAAATTGACTATTGGTGAGAATGATATGAAACCTCGAAAAGGCACAATTCCAGGTCAATACTTTTCCAACGATACCATATTTAACCATAAAAATCCATTTTATCATATAAATACACTGGCCACAAAATTTTGCTTATTCTCTTAATAATATAGATGATTAGAGTCCACGCAACAGTTCTGTTATTCAATTGGTTTTAATGGTAAACATAAGTAATTTGTTTGAAGAATATTTCGTTAATGAAAGGTCACTTTCATATTTGAACTCTGAATAATAAATAATGAAGTAATTTATGCCGAGCGTACAAAAAGTAGAGGATCTATTTGTGTTGTTTGACAACCATTTTTACCGAGAACAATATTTGCTATAGAAATCCAAATAGTTACAATCTGAAAAGACCATTTGTATGGATACTCTGTAAATAGTCTCTCGGTTGTTAAATTTTATTTTTATTTTTACTGTCTTTTATCGTGAGAATATCATAAATATATTATGAATTTTTTTAGTCACATGTATTAGAAGAAAATGATTTTCAAATATACACAATTTTTCAGGCCGCTATGGCAGCTTACGTCAAAGATGTCGAAGGAAACACGGTTGACATAACAGCACAGGAAATAATGAAGAATAAGCGCAACAGAATTGACGAACCTATCGTAAGTTGATCCACAATAGTTGTAAAAAAATTTTTCTAAATAAAGCACACAAATAAAAATTGTGAATTTCAGGTAACGACTCCTAATCAAGTCCCCGAGGTATTACCAGTAACAAATCCAAGGCACAAATCAAGTAAAAATGTGAGTTTTTATCAAATGTTTACTTTCAATCATTTTATTTTTATTCAATAAAGAAATCTTTCAATTTAACTCTCTAACAATTAACCCAGCCTATTGATGAAAAAAAGTAATTTAATTTCAGCTTCCAGCGGATGTTGATTTTTGTGATCCTACCACATTTCACCGGGCTCGTGTCCCTCAGCAGCCAAAAAACATGTCAAGTGGAAGTGGTAGCGGTGAGAATAAACCCCAGGGGAAAAATAAATCCAATCGGGAAAAAAGGAAGGGAAAAAAAGGTCAAGAGGATGATGTTAAGAAAAAGAGTTTCCAGAAAATCTGGTATGAAGCACGCAGTCCCGAAGGATATACTTATTACTGGCACGTCGAAACGAATGGTAAATAAAAATAAATTAATCAATAAATAAAAATTACCTCCAGTCTCTTTATTCGCTTCCGTAGTGAAGAATAATTTTAAATAATCTTTCTGTGCGCACACAGAAAGAAAATTTCACTTGAGCCGGCTCAAATGAAAAATATTTTTTTTTCTAATTATTTTCTTGACCGAAAAAAAAATTGTTTTTTGACACAAGAAATTTCACTTATTCTAACAAAATTAATTCTCTTGCTTTAAAAAATATGTATCTTGATTCAAGAAAATTTATTTAAGTCAAGAAAATCTTATTGTTTTGAGAAAGTTCAGCCTCTTGCTCCAAAAAATTTAGTTCTTGATAGAAGTCAATTTTCTTGTCTTGAGAAAGTTTCTCTTTTGCTCCAAAAAATTAAATATAAAGAGAAGTAAATTTTCATTAATATCTTTATTGATTAACATGTCAAATGGGAAGATCAAATAATATTGAATCATTTTTTTTCATTCAATATGTATAATTGCGCGAAAATGAAGTTAGCCGACATTTCAAAATTTTTAGAAATTTTTTTTTTGAAAACATTTCATTTATAAAATTAAAAAAAAAAATTTTACATGTAAAAAACTTGAAAAACTATTAGTGCAATTTTTTAGAAATATCTTTTTAGTTGTAATTTAATTAATAAAAAAAATCAAAAATTTTTAGACGTCTGCTAACTTCAGTGTCATATAATTGCACGCTAAAATAATATAAAATGGGTATCAAATATTCAAGAGAAAAATTTTCTCAAGGTAAGAAAATTTTTTTTCTCAGCTGAAGTAGATGGCGCTGCTTCCCTAAAGTATCTAAAAATCTTGATCAAATATAAAAATTTATTGTATCAAGTATTTATGATAATTTGAAATAAGAAAAAATGACTTCTATCAAGAATAGAATTTCTCGAAAAATTTTTACTTCGGCCAACACAACTTCGGTCATCCTACACGCACCCGAAAATTTTTTTGAGCTAAGAATTTCGTTCTCCAGTCAAGAAATTTTTCTTTCTGCGCATATCTAATTTAAATTCTAATTTATTCAATTTAATCTCCGTTGATTTTTAGAAACATCTTGGGAGCCTCCGGAGGAAGGTTTCATGACAATAGCAGAGCAAGAAGAAGAAGCGAGAGAACAGACAATTCAGGCTGAATTGTTACAGCAAATTGACCAAGAGGAAGCGAAGGAAAAAGCTGAGGCGTTAGAAGAGCAGCGCGCTAATGCTGAACGAGAAAAATATAAAGCTTTAAGGTTGCAGAAGTCCACGGAAAGTACTGAGACTGGCGAGGTTAAAGAGGAAAAAGAAGAGATACCTTACCGAAGAGATTACAGTGTTCCGGATAGAGTCGATCCCTACGGGCCGTGGACGACTGTTGAAATAAAGTAAATATATATTTACTAGCTTGTTATTTTTTTCCAAGGCTGTGGTTGTAAAAATTAAACATAAATTGTATTTATTTTTTTAGGCCTCCCAAAGTTGTTGACTTGCAATTACCTGCGAAAAAGGTTATACAAGTAGTAACGCCAGTAGTTAAGGAAACCCGGGCACCTCAAAGAACGTTTGAGGAAAAAAAAGTTACGAGGATCTCTACTGGGGACAGTGATGGAGAAGAAGCTCCTACGACGTTTAAGAAAAGAAAATTCGGAAATAAAAATGTCCGGAAACGATTAGATGATGATTAATTATTGTTTATGTGTATAAAGTTTCTCTAAGTAATTAAGATATCTTTAAAATAAAATAAGTTTTGGCAAGAAAAATTTAATTTATGTCAATTTAATTGAATAACTGAAGTTTTTTTTCGTTGTTAAGAGAAATTTAAAATGAAAATAATTGTAGAATTAATATTTTTCAGTTTTAAAAAAATGCTGAAATTATGACAGTAAAGTTAGCAGTCAGAGAATTTTTTAATTTTTTTTAACAAACAAATTTGTTCCAAAATATAATTTTAAAAAAATTGCATTTTTCATTTTTTAAAATTTCTACATGCCAATTTTTTTTCTTATTTTTTTTTTGCTGTAATTTATTTGTTAAAGAAAATTCTAAAAATTATTTAATATTTGCTAAATTTATTTTCATGCTGAAATTTGTTGAAACATCGTTCGTTTTATGAGCAAAAGTACAATTATTGTACAAAGATGAAACAAATAAATTAATCTATTGATTAAAGAAATATTTTGTTAAAAAATTTTAAGTCTGTAGAATTTATACTCATTATTTAATTTTTACAGCTCTAAAATGTTGTTAAGTTAATAAAATTTTATTATTTTCCGCATTTTTTAATCTTTTAAATTTCTAGACGTGGAAATTTTTTTGTTTTATAATTTAATTGTAAAAAAATCTAAAAAATTATAAAATGTCTGTTAAATTCAGTATTATTTATAATTTTATAAAATATAAAGTAAAATTCATTTAAAAATATCATTTTTCCAAAGAAAAATTCTAAAAATAATTATTAAATATCATTTTCTGTTTTTGTATTAAAAAAAAACAAAGAGAATAAAAATTATAATAAATAAAAATTTGAATTTACTTACTTTTGCCGCCATTTTAGCCGCTACGAAATCATGGCCGTTGTCAATTTATAAATAAATTGCTCACAAAAATAAACACCGCGCACAAAACTAAAAAATAACTACTAAATAATAATCACAATAATTAATATGTAATTATAATTTTAATATAACTTAAATACTTTAATTTATATGTATAAATTCACTGACACTAGTCAACGCTGAATTTCACTTGTTCTATTTTCCACTTTTTACTCACTGACGCGCCCAATTTAATAATTCAATGTGTTTTATTAGTTCTTAAAATTATTTTAAATGAAAATATAACTATAAATAAGCAATATATTGAATTATTTTAATTAAAACCGATGACAAAAACGGGAACTGCGAAGTTTACGCGGGAGCCGATGAGTACTAGAAGCTTCTGGCTCATGCGCATCGAAAGTAATGGCTACTGCGCAGTTCTCTTCCAACGGTCGTTTTAAGGTGCGCCGGCGCTATCTCAGCTCAAAATTTTGTTGTCATCCAGCAAATTCGCGGTTCTAAAATTCGTCGCATGATTTATAAATTAATAAAACAATAAATAATATTTTTTAATAAAAATAATTCTAATTGATCGATAAAATTATAAAACGATTAATACTTTGAATTTTAAAAGAGTGAAAAATTGTTAAATTAAAGTCGCGGATGGTTTGTGTAGTTACATGTAGGTGTTTGTTGTGATTTGTAATTGTCAGTGGCGATTTTAAATCATTTTTATAATTGTGTCAGTAAAAAAATGAGTAGTTGTGTTTTTTTAATTATTCAGTGTTTGGTAATCAGTGGCAATAAGTAATTAGTTAATAAAAATGTGAATGTGCTGATAATAGAGAAAAATTATTTTATGATGCTAAAATTTACAGACATCAGTCAATTTTTTTTTTTTTATAACTATTAAATTATTATTGAGAAATTTTAATAAAAAATTACGCATCTGAAGATTAAAAAAAAATTATGAAAATTAATTTAGCCGATATTTGATAATTTTTTAAAATTTTTGTAACGAACAAATTATAGTAAAAAAAAATTAACATGTAGAAAGTAAAAAAAATAAAAAATGCAATTTTTTAAAAATCATTTTTTGAAGCAAATTTGTTTGTTAAATAAAATTAAAAAATGTTCAAATAACTGCTAACATTAATGTCATAAAAAAATTATGACATTCAAGTTAGCTGTCACTTGACAATTGTTTAATTTTATTTATCAAAAAAATTTGTTCCAAAAAATTATTTTTTATTTTTTTAAAAAAATGTTCAAATAACTGCTAACATTAATGTCATAAAAAAATTATGACATTCAAGTTAGCTGTCACTTGACAATTGTTTAATTTTATTTATCAAAAAAATTTGTTCCAAAAAATTATTTTTTATTTTTTTAAATTTCTAGATGTCAATTTTTTTTTGTCATAATTTATATGTTATAAAATTTTTTTAATTATTAAATATGTGCTACGTTAATTTTCATAAAAAAATTACAAGTGCGAAGTTTTAAAAAATATTTTTTTTTATAATGGATTTATAATTGTCAGGTGTCAGCTGATTTTAGTATAATTTTTTTTTGACAAAAAGAAATTAAGAATAAAGTTTGTGAGATAAAAGCGACTAGTTTCAATTAATTAATACAACATTTATCTCAAGCACTAATTCAAGATTTCAAAAGCTCTGTAGAAACTACTTTTACCGCCCGTCGAATAAGTAAGTCGCATGTATTTTACGTCGTTCTTATACTAAGAAAGCTCTCTTTGTTGCTTTTACAATTTATTACTGAGCTTTAAACATATAAAGAAGCTTTTTCCTACAGTAGGTATAGTTAAATTTAAACTGAAGCCCATAGCTGGACATCAAGAATTTATAGATGGTGACTACGTGACCTACGTCTTTTTGAACGAACTGTTTGTTATCCATTGCTATCAGTGTCTATTTTTTTAAATCCAGAAATATTTTATTCACATCAGAGAGGACTCTCTCGATGTTCTAGAGTATCAAATGCACTAAAAATATTATCAGGTATACTAGGACTGGATTTTTTTACTCGAATTCTGCTCAGAGAACTTTAAAAATTAATTAGTAAGTTTTTGAATCAATAATTGCTAAACTAATTTTTGTTTGTTTGAAAATAAACAAACAAATTAATTTATTATTTATTTTTTATACAATACTTGGTTGTAAACCGCTTTTATATAAAATTATTTAGGAATCTATTGATGATTATTTATACATCAAAAATTGCATTGCTAAAATAGTGAAATCAGATAAAAAATCAAAATTTATTTTTACTAGTGGAATAAAATTTATTACAAAATTTTTCAACAGTAATTAAATTAAATAAATCAATAGTCAATTATAGAATATCAAATTCCAATTTAAATAATATCCAATTGCAAATTTACGAGTATTAAAACTATTCAAATGATTCTTCCCTCTTCCACGGCTAAATCACTTACCAAAAGTATCTCTGGAAGTAGCAATGTGACATGCTAATTATACCAGACGGTATGTTTTTGATAGTTGAGAGTTTGGATTCCTCTGTTCTCTATTTCCATGTCTCACTTAAATAGACAAGACTGAGGCTCGAAAGGAATTCCAACAGACTTGATATTTCTATTTAGACTACCCTTAAAACTGTTCGCCAAACTCACAGCGTACTATTACTAAATATCATTATCATAAAATGAGTAAAACTGATTTTCATACAACATAAAAAAAAAAAAATAATAGAAAGAGATAATAACTACCGGGTAGTTATTACCCTCACCTTCATTTTCACCAACCAACCGCTCAACAATACGACCTGCGCAATGTTACCAATTTACTTATCCATGGTTCTGCCGATGGGTACTTGTGTATCTTCAGTCACGTGGAGAAACTTTCCGCGTTCGGATCATCGTCAGATAACAAATTTACTCGTGTTATTTTATTTTATTATTTTTTTTGTTTTTATTTTCGAGTTTGCAAATATCGTGACAATGTTCTCCATTGAAATTTAATTTGTATCTCTATTTTTACTTTAAAAACTCAAAAACGGGTCGGTCAAGCTGATAAAGAAGCTTTTAAATTGGTGAGTCATTTTATTAAAATTTTTCCTAATTAAAATATTCATCAATTACCCTATCAATTACTTAAAATTCACCGACAAATTTTTATCCTCAGAGAATAAATTTTTCTATCAATTTTTTAAATAAAATTGCAAACAAACACTAATTGGAAATTTTTAATCGAGAAATATTAAATGTTAAATTTATTTGATTGATTGGTCACTATTATTATTATTTATTATCATTAAATTGTTCTGCTATTGGCATCTCCCAATGACAAGCTTATTACACCGACTAATCGTCATAGTATTGATTATCAATCAGTTAAATTAGATAATTCGCTTTTCATTTTATTGTTATCATTCTTTTTATACCTTTTTGCTATTTGAATTCTAAAGAAATGACATTTCCACGAATTAAATCATTATACAATATTTCAATGACATAATTTCCATTTAAGAATTTTAATGATAACGCAAATTTTCTCTTTTATCTTTAGTATAATATATAATTATATAATAATTTCATACACATACATTGAGCAATTTGTGACGTAATTATTAATGACATTCCGTCCATTTAATCTTATTAAAAAAGCTTTCTGGGTTATTTCTCCGGCGGTCTGAATAAAATGATCATTAAAAAATGATAAAAAAATAAAACCGTGTTTTTTACAGCACTGCCTCATTTTTGTTCCACCTTACTTAATGGTTTTCTTTACAACTTGACGGGTCTTTTTTAACCTTTTTTTTCTGCTCACCACTTTCCCGATGTACATCGCATAAAACACCTACCGGGTTGCGGTCATCCTTAATGCTTAATGTTTTTACTTCCCGCATAAATAATAAATAATTGCGGTTGTTTAAAAACGCTTTCAGTTTATATTGCAAACAAAGCTCACGAAGTAAAAAAATTTTATTTCAAAATAAAAAGCAATTAATCTAGACAACAGAACACAACAGTATTCTATATATATAAATAAAAATACGTATGGTACAAAGATAACATGAAAAATATCGGATGGTTTATTTCTTGAGCTAGCAACGAGTATGAGGTATTATATAGAAAAATACTATTCCGGTTCATATTCTTTTATCTTTCCTCTTTTTCTTTTTTGATTTTTTTTTTACAACCTGGCAAAGCTTCTTACTTGGCTGAACTTCACTTCAGTTCCGGACAATCGTTATTCATACCTACTATTTGTCTTTCACTGCAGTACTTTCAATAACACACATGTTCATAGATTATGTGTTCATATATTACAAAGCACAAAGGGAAAATATCTTTCAATAAGTTAATAATTTTATTATAAAAAAAATTTACTAAGAAATACGATTTAACTTTCAAGTTTTCTTTGTCATTTCAACTTTAACTGTAAAAAAAATTATTGATATCAGTTTTTAACTATAAAACAACTTTTACTTGACCATCTGTGTAATAAGTATTAAAATAATAGAAAATTTATGGTGCAATTTTGTTCAAATATTAATTTAACTTTTGCATAACTTTGACCTTTGAAAAATTTTATTGATAAATTAAATGTATTTAAATATTTAAATACATTTCTATCATTCTGATTCTGATGGATAATTTTACCGCAGATTAAAGCAATTAAAATATGCTAGGAAATAAAAGTTGACTTAGAAATACGATTTAATTTTTTAATTTTTTTTTACATTCGAACTTGCACTGTAAAAAAATTACGATAAAAAATTATTGGTATTCATTGCAAACTATAAAATTACTTCCACATGACCATTTGTGTAATAAGTAATAAAAATCTGTAGAATAAGAAATAAAATAAAATAGAAAATTTTTGATAAAAATTAATTTTTTTCTTCCTTCTCTTTGATGTTTTGCAGCATTTTATTAATAAAAGAGATGTACTTTAAAATTCTTTCTTTTTGCTCTTACTCTAATGAATAATTACGATAATTAAAATAATTAGAGTGCGCTATAAAAATGAAATTGAATATAAACACTCTAAAAAATTAACCTTAAGAATAAAATTTTATCTGTTCTGTAAAAAATTTTGCGTTAAATTACCAGGATTCTAAGTGAGTTAGGATATCGAAGTGGTGCGAGTGATTTCTCTGTTTTTTACTCTTCAGACCCTCGTAACGTCCTCAAAAATTGAGATACCTTATTTTTTATCTTCACCCGTCGAGTCAATAAAGTGATAAGACAATAAATTCTGAATGACCAGGAGAGTTTTCGTATTAGGCCAAAAT